GAAGCAAAGAGGTGAAAAAGTTTCTTTGTGCTCTTATGCTTGCCTGGGTCTTGGGACCAGCATAAGCGCAGGTGAACCTGGTGAGGGAAATGATTGGTGACTCTGCAGTGCCTCAAGGGCGCGTTAAACCATGCAAAAGTGTCTTCGTAGCATGTGCTCACAAATGAGGACACTTTGCCGACACCAGGACCGGAAGGTCTTATCTTCCATTCCACTTATGAGATCACATGAAGATACTCTTTCTACTGATGGGTATGGTTTTCTCCTGCTGTCGTCCTCCCGCTAAGACTACCTGGGCATGCAGTCTGTGTCTTCTGCCTTTTGTAGCTCCGCCCATTCTGAGGAGGCCCTGCCTCATGGCTGTAGGTGTATTTTCCCCTGCGATATGACACTTGGGACATACACAGGTCCCAGTGAAAGGAGACAGCTCCAGGTACAGAGAAAACCCATGTCCTTGGGCATTGCATCTGTGAAATACTGCTTGTCAGAGAAAATATTAGAAAATAGCCCAAGTTCCATAATGTCAAATCACAAAGGAAGGTAAAGCCTCATTGCTTGCCAAAGCGAGGAAAGCCCATTGTGAGGTTCAAATCTCGGTGCTGCCATTTACCAGCAGTTTGACATTGACTATGCCGTTTATTCTAGAAGAATTCATTCATTCATTCATTCACTAATTCATTCATTCATTTCTTTTTTTCTTCCTTGTTTTGAAACAGGGTTTCTCTGTGTAACAACCCTGACTGCCCTAGAATTCACTTTGTAGACCAGGCTGGCCTCCTCAGATTAAAGCCGTGTGTCACCACTGCTCATCTGACTCTGGATTTCTTAATCTATCAAGCAAGGATAAAATATCCTCCCTCAGGGTCTCCAGGTATAGTTCAGTGATAAAATACTTGCCCTGCTCAAATGCGGGCTGGAGTTGTATCCCTGACACAGACGAACGAGCTTTGGAGGGAGAATCATGGTGTAAGGAGATTTGCACATGGAAGGCCTGCAGTACTGGCGTGTGCAATTTTGAGAGGCATCCAAGTACATTCAGAAGGTACGGATTCCTCCACCCCAGCTTCTGAGCACCCTCATGCCTGCTGAATGCCAATGATTTAATTAAAAAAATCGAAGTGATTATTGTCACAAACACTACCGTTTACTGAACATGTTTAAAAGGTTTACTTTTTGATTTCAAATAGGTCAACCTAGTAAGACACTGCTTCATGCCTCCCTGGGATTGCTGTATTCAAATATGAGTGCAGCTATCATGGAAGGCAGCATTATATTTCCTCGGAATGTAAAACAGAGAAGAACCTTATGACCCATCAATTATGCCTCCTGCATACATGGTAAAAATAATTGAAAACAAAGCTAAGTAGATATTTGTATGCCAGTGCTTAGAGAATAATAGTCACTATAGAGCAAAACCTGAAAACCTAAGATCTATATACAAATGGATAGATAAAATGATTCTATGCTCAGTTCAACATTGAACTACTTGATCACAAAATGAGATGAAGCTTTGATGTGTGATACAATCTGGATCCTCCTTGAAGACATCAAGTGAACTTAGCCAGACACTAGGTGAGTAAATGTTATATAATTCAAGTGACACAAAGTCTCTAGAACAGGCAGATTCATAGACTCAGAAAGCACATTAGAAATTATTAGAAGACAAGGAAGACAGAAAGTTATTGCTTAAAGGGCAGACAGCTTCTGTTCTGGGTGGTGCAAAGTTTTAGACACTTCCACTGCATTCTATGAATGCAATAACTGCTGTTGACTTGGACATTTAAGAACAGCCGGGGCTGGGGCTGGGGCTGGTTCAATAGATTGAGTGCTTTGCTTGCCCTACAAGCATGAAGGTCTGAGTGTAGAAATCCAGAACACATGAGGGAGGGGATCTGGGTGCCGCGGCATGTGCCTACAATCCCAGAGCTGGGGTGATTCAGATAGAGAGCCCTGGGTCTCTCTGACCAGCTAGACTAATCTGTCAGTAAGCTCCAAGTTCAGTAACAGAGTTTGTCTCAAACACTAATGTGGGAAGTAAATGAAGAAAACAAACTACATCAACTACTGGTGCATAGGCATGTACACACACACACACACACACATGTAAACACATATATGCACAAACATACAAATGAAAGAGTAGCTAAAGTGGCATTTTATTACAATTTTATTACATGTATTTCACCACAATAAAAGTGTTTTACAAGACAAGTAAACATTTGGCCTCTAATTAAAAACACCATTTGAACAGGTTACACATTTCCATATTTAAAAGCAAAACAGCATACATTGCAAGGTTAGTTACTGCTCTCTCCACATACAACTCTTGGAATTATTTTCTCACAAATCTTATCAAGTCGTTTTATGCAAGTAGCAAAAGAATAGTAAATATGAATTCTTATTTCTGTTTTTTTATATGTATATGTTAACTTGCACGCATGGTCCCATGTTTTCCTTTTTATATTGAAATAGATGTCCTAGAAATTGGTAAAGAATGTAGAGCTGTTCCTTTCTCTTTTCCTGTCGTAGTGTATGTTACTGTGTAGATGCTGCCATAGTGAATGCTACTGCGTAGATATGTCATAATTATTTTAATTACACCTTTAGTGACAAAATTTAATGGAATGATTTTGTGTTTACAAAGTTCTCCAATAGGTGCATGTATGTATTTTCATTCGTGTGTACAATGTTTACAGTAGGTTTAATCCCCCAGATTAGGTTTGCAGAAATCAAAGAGCAGTCACACACTCCACTAGGTTGTGGAGTGTCTATTTGCTCAAAGTTTTAGCAAGAGACTATGGGAGGTTTTGTTTTGCTAATATCATTATGAAGAGATATTACTGGCTGCCCTTTCCATTGAAATTGTCCTTATTGTAAGAGTAGTTGAGCATAGTTTCGTTAGTTTAAATGTCACTCATAGTGCCTTTCCTATTGATGCAAAAGCGTCCACAATTTAAAGAATTTAGAGACATGGGCAGTTAACAGCAGTGTGTCAGACTGAGCGTTTGGTGATAATATAATCAAGAAGCAGAGTTTAACTTTGCCACCTCTATTCTTTTGTCCACAGACTGGGCCCTTGTATCTTCTCAGGACTAAGACCACTTCTTACTATGAGGTAGCACCTGCTCTGGTTGGGAGCATGAAGGAGATGTGGGGAGAAGGCAGTGTACCCTGAGCTTGCTGGATCACAATTAGCCTGAAAAGTGGACTCTGGGTCAGTCTTCTCAAAGCCACAACATATATCGTCTTACCAACCTTTCTTGAGTTTCCTGCAAGCCAGCTGTGAAAAGTCTAAGAAAGGATCACCTGAGCTTGCAAACATAACACTCTACAGCTCTACCCTTCCTTACCAGGAGGAGGGGCCCACAAAACTGTTCAATCATTCCTTCAGAGATGCAAATAAATAACAAGAATGCCACACAAATAGCACGAGTTGGCTGTGGGAGTAAGCTGTCACTTCCAGGAGAGTGATGTGGCTTTCTCTCCAAGGGGACAACAAATGATCGCATGCCAAAGATGGCAGAATTCAGGCAGGTGGGCTTTGCCATCAAGCTGCCTGCCTGCAGGTGCTCTTCTCAGATTGGTTGTCACATTTGCAAAAGGCAGAAGGAAAGAGGCAGAAGTTTGCTTATTCTATTGAATCGTAGACAAAAACGAATAGTTTTTTTTTCCTCCCATGACAAACTGGAATTAGCCCCAGAGCAGCTTGATATACTGCCAGCCAGTGGTCTAACCCTGTCTGAGCATGACATGCATTTCTACTGAAGTTGCCAGGCTCAGAGGCCAAAAGGAAAAAGAATGGGGGTTTGCTAAGACTGCTGGAAGAGATCTTCCCCACATCCATCCTGGTGTGTCACCGTGAGTGTCCAGGGAACTCGGGACAGAGAGGAAAACAAAGAGTTATTCTTGAGGCCAGAAATGACTGCTGCTAAGAAGAAATATCTGAGGGACATGATAGATGCACGATGCCTCTGATCAACTGAGCCCCCATCAGCATTTCCAAGTTTTTAACCAAGAAATATTGATTTATGTTTATTGTGCTTTATGGCACTTTAGAGCAATTTATAACACTTACATTAGAGAATGGATGGGCCTGGAGAGCAGCCAATATGGGCCTGGAAAAAGATGAAGTGCTGTCAGGAATGGTAACTTCTTGTACCAGGTGCATTTTCTTGCTTTTGTGTTTTATCTCAACTATTTAACATGAAACAAGAAAATGAATATTGATTTTCTTAGACAAACAAGAAGTGACATAAGTTGAGCAAAGCTAAAGGAGTTTTTAAAGCCCATGTCAGTACCTACATTTTCTACCATTCCAATCTAGCAGCCTAAATAGAACGCTTCTCTACACGCTTATCCACAAAAACACACAAGCAATTACATAAAATGAGGGAAGTGAACAGAACTGTTAAAATGTTAGTTTGTATTTTATATTAATGCTTTCATGAAAAGCAAATGCAGCAAAAACCATGGGTCTCTGTAAAGAGAGTCATTTCCTAATATGTACTGATAAACAGGACAGACTTCAAAGAGACATGCTGGATTATATATCAAAACCAAACAATTTGAAGTTAAAATCATTTGGGCTGAAATGTTTCTTCCAGGAGTTCATGCATAATCCTCCTTACCTTCCGTGGGAGGAGGAAAAAAGAAAAAGAGCTCATGACAGCTGATTGGGCCATGGTGGTGGCACAGAGTGGTTGCAGGTGCTCAGGGAAGCCAAGTTTTGTTTAAAAACATCTCTTCTGGAACTGGAGATAGCTTAGTGGTTAGGAGCACTAGTTGCTCTTCTAGAGGACTCTGGTTTGATTCCCGTCACCCACATGGCAGCTCATAACTGATGTAAATCCTATTCCAAGGAGCTCTGATGCCCTCTTTTGATCTACCAGGGTATTGTATGCATATGGTGAATAGCTACGTGAGCAGACAACTATCCATACAGACTACAAATGAAACAGAAAAAAAGAAAAGAAGGAATGATAGGGAGAGAGAGAGAAAGAGAGAGACCAATAAAAAAGAAATATCTTTCCTGACATCTCAAGAGTCTAGCATAGTCTTGAGCTTAAGAAACATTAAAGAAGTTCAAGTAGAAATGTAAAGCTACCAGAGGATATAAGGCTAGGTTGTGAAGTAGAGGAGCCAGAGAGCTGGGAATAACAGACCCAAGAGCAAAGTCTGAGGGTGTGTGCAAATACTGGAGGTGACTCCTATATTCGAAGTTTGATTTCTTGATCTCTGCACTACAACAGGACACAGCTCAATAGTCATTTCTTTCACTGGATGGATTCATTCAGCAGTAAGTAGGACAGACAGTTTGTGGGGCTGGAGCAAACACACTGGCCAGGTTTCCAAACCTGGACAGATTAACGTAGCTCCTGCTTTTGGACTTCTAAGTCACCCAACAGACATTAAATTACCTGGAACCCAGAATTGACATCTTGAGTCTGCTACTTTGTGTTTTTGAGGGTGGAGGGTGATATAAGAGGTCAAATGTGCAGTTGATAGTTGCTAGTTAAGCTGAAAAACCAGGGAGTTGGCTTTTCTGTGTGATGAGTCCTCAAGATCAATGCTAAGAAAGAGTTTCTTACCTTTGTCATAGTCAGGCTTGGTGTCTCTATTACACATGTTACAAAGACCAGGACTCTTTCAATTATTAACACAATTAAATGTCAGGGTGTGACATGTGTGGTTAGTACATAGAAAATCCTTTTCTTTCTCAGGGAAGTTGTTGCAATCATTCAAGTAAGAAAAAAAGTAAAAGAACAAGTTAATTGTCATTATCAATGGAGTTCTCATATGACTCTTATGTAATCATATCCTGTAACCATGCCATCGTATGGACCAGGCAAAACATGGCTCAGGAACTCTACTTGAGTTCTTGAAAACGCATTGACTTGGCTTGTTTCTGGGGTGAAAGTCTTGTTTGGGTCTGGAAGTTTCCTAAGGCTGGGTTCTTGAGAAAGCTGAAGGTTTTGTCTAGACAAATGATGTTCTCCCTGAACCTAAGGCACCTTGATGGGGGTAGAACAGCAGGAAGAAGACGACATTTAGAGCTGTTAAGAGATGTCTGTGTGTCTGCCTTCCATTCCATGCCCTTCTAGACCCAGACAAGGTTGTAGGTGGCCCGAATATCCAATAAGGGATTTTTGAGTAGAGTAAGAAGTTATTGTACCCTCAAATTGTGTCTTGTCCAGTTGATGTAAGAAAGTGGGGGAGAGAGAAGAGAAAGGAAGGATAATGATTTCTGCCACTGCACTGACAACCAGATGTGGAGAAATCACAACCAATATCATATTGCCCCAGCGTGTGCAAGCTGGGCAGGGTCCAAAGGCAACTCATCGAGTCTGGCAGCCTAGGCCAAGGGCCTTGGGGAAGAAAACCTGCTGGGACACAGAAAGACTTGTTTGTAGTGGAAGCATGCCTCCTGCATATGGCTGAAGGTAAGAGATGACTTTGGCTTGTCCATAGACAAAACATCTGGCAGATGGAGAAAAATCCCAACACAGCACAAGTGCAGGAAGTGATGGTTGCTGCCAATGAGTCTGAAGGAGAGATTTCAGGGCTTCCATGAGTTCTTTAGAGCAGAAAGGGCCTGCTGAGGTGATCAGGAACCTGTCAGAGATATTGTAAGAAGTCACAGCAACAAGAGGGGGCTGTGTCCTTTCATCACCAAGGACAATTTCAGTTCTTTTTCTGCACATGTTGATTTCTCACACTATTGTTAGAAATAAAACAAACAAACAAAACAGTGCTTAGGATCTGGAAGGTAGTTCAACCAGTAGAGTGCTTACTGGTACAAGCAACAGGACCTGAGTTCAAACCCCACATCCCATGTAAAAAAAGCAACAGCTGGCATACCTGTGATCTCAGTTTTGGGAAGATGTAGTTGGGTGGATCCCTGAGACTCCCTGGTCAACCAATCTAGCCAAATGGGCAAAGCTCACATTAGTGAGGGAATGTGTTTCAAAAAATAAGATGGAAGCCAGTTCAGCTATCTCAGTTGACAGAGCATGAGACTCTTAATTTCAGGGTTGTGGGTTCATGCCCCATGTTGGGCACCAGATATTGCTTGGGGATCAAGATTCACTAGACTCAGTACAGCCTAAGTGAAGTTTATTCAGAGAGAGTGCACTTACAAAAAAAGCAGGTAACTGCCACAGGTTCCAGTTCCGAGGATCCACCCAGGCTGTCCTCTGTGACCCAACTAGAAGCAAAAGAGCATACTGGGGTCGGAACACCAGATCTTGTCCTACCTGTGACCACACCCAAATGGGCGTGGTCAGTGCTACAGGTGTGTGTGGGGGTGAATATCTCACTACAATAGTATGTAGTTCCTGAGGAATTACATCCAGGATTGACCTCTGGCCTCCATTCACATGCACACATGTGCAAGTAAGTGTACCTATACATGTGTACCTGTGTACATTTACATGTTCACACACATACACACACACTATGCTTAACTTAAGCTAGTTAATTCTCTGTCTTATTAGGACACAGTTTCTAGGCAGAGTCCACAATACCATTTGTTTCATTTTGTTGTCATTTTGTATACAGAAATTTGATTTCCATAAGACCTCAATTTGTATCAAAGAATGCCAATCTCTAGCTTCTTTGCCAAAAAGAACCTTGCCAAATTGAGATCAGTTTTGAAAAACCAAAGAAAAATGAATGTGTCTTAAAGGTTTAATTGTATTATTTCCCTCTTTATCTTTTGATGACTTTGACAGATGGGACTCTCACAATATACTCATTGTTCAGCTGGAAACCCCATGAAGTTGTAACCTGAACCCCTTGTCCCTGAGGCCATTTGATGGCCTTCATCCAATGGTATCTGTGGACCCCAGTGGAGAGGTAGGTAAAGAGTTATTAAGTCATTTGAAATTGCTTTCAGCACACTGCAAAGTGGTTGGGCCATTTCAGGCCATAGCAGGATGGCAGAATGCCCAACTGCCTACGTCAAGCAGTGTTTATAAATTAGAAATTACCAGCCTTTAGGTTCCTTGCTGATCAGTCAGAGTCCCTAGAAGACTGTGCAGACATGCCTGGGGCAGAAATGTTATTGGACCAAACAAAGCGTAGCTCTTGGTTAATCAGTCATGATTTGTCTACCTGGTGGTGTTATTGGAGGAGATTTGGAAGTGGTTGTCTCTTCAATTGCAGTACAATGTGGCTAATTATTCTAACTAAAAGCAGCCATTAAAACAGTTCTTTGGTTATTTTTTGGTGAACCACAGAAACTAACACTAAACTTAAAAAGAAACAGATAGTCCCTTACGATGCTTTTAATTCACCTAGTTAAAAGGGGGTTACTGAGCAATTAGTGTGTGCACGTGAGCGTCCTCCTTTGTTTAATGCACTTAAGACTACATTAAACTCTACAGGTCATTCATAGATTTAATCTTTACAACAACTCTGGGGAGGAAGTAACGACTAATGATCCCATTTTACAGTTGAAGAAACTGAGCGTATTATATTTCTTGTCATGACAAAACACTTGACAGAGGGGCTTAAGGGAAGAAGGTTTATTGTGATTCACTGTTTGAGTGACTACAGTCCACCACCTGGTTGGGGAAGAGACAGAACAGGAGGATTGTGAGGAATCTGATCACAGTGTGTCCACAGCCAGGGAGGCAGAGACGTGAATGCTGGTTCTTGGCCTTCATTTTATTCAGACTGGGACCCTATCCCAGGACTCCCACATTCCCAGCTGTTCAGGTAAACCTCTCTGGATGCCCTTGGACATGTCCAAGTTGGGTCTTGTAGGTGATTTTTAGATCCAACAAGGTTGACGATCAAGATTACGCCTCACACTGGGGTTCAGAAACCAGTGTATGTCTCCAGGGGCTTTATGGACACATGAAAACAGTACACAGAATTCATGCCTTCCTGTTAGCTATGGTCACAGCTACCTCAGGCGTCGGGCTTCTGAGAATCTCTTTTGATTAGGCTCTGCCAATTACTCCAAGGCCTTTATTCTTTTAAGTTTCCAGAAGAACTCTTATTTTAAAAGAATCATTAGTCACCAGCTGCCTTCCAGCCTCAAGCCAGCCAGTGTCACTCCTGACTGCACCCAAACTTACAACCCAGGCTGAGGTCAGGCCACCTCTGCCATCAGCTCTCTGTTTCCTGCCCTCTTAGAAGCTCTGACTTCTCTGTTTAGTTCACAGACTGGTGGTGAGCTAAGGGTCATTGCTTTGGGACATCTGGAAGACTTGGTATGATAAAGGAAGGGATTAAACAGTTTGAGTAAAAAAAATATGCCTTCACAGAAGTAGTAAAATAAACATGGTCATTGACATATGTTACTTCTCTCCCTAAACCCAATAAAAACAAAAAAATGAAAGAGGCAGACAAAAAGGGGGAGGCGTTGTCACATGAGTGGTAATTCGCCCAACTTGCTGTCTTCCAGTAACTCGGCCACCTCACAGGCAGCAGCAGAGCACAAGTCTCTGAACAGGTTCTAGGCCTGGATGTACCAGGCAGCTCAGAGGGAGGAAGTGAATGACCCAGATGGGTTGAATGAACTACTGCAGACATGAGGTATAGCATCAATGCTTCTCTCATACACAGCATGTCTGTTCTCCATCTCTGGCTCTGGGAGAGACAAGGTTACCATCAAGACTGCCGTACCATGAAGATCTGGATAGGAGGGTACCAGAAACTCTGACTGTGAACAGTAAAAGAAACTACTATGGAAAATGAAGCCTTGGGAGATCACTGGCATTCTAAATGGTGAGAGTCCTGAGTCACCCCTTGTCCTTCTCCTAGAGGATGCAGGTCTGGGGCTGCTGGATAAATATCCCAGTTGGCAGGAGACAGGAGAATCAGATTTATTGTCCCTAGAGAAGTATGTGCTGCCACTACCCTCACCCTTAGCTAACCATTTACCTGTCAGGCTTTCAATATGAAGTAGAGTGATAACCAGTTACTTAAGAAAATTATCACCATTACAAATGGAATCCAATGCATGGAGGAAATCCCTTAAAAGGGAACAAGATAAAAGGGAGAAAGGATTTAAATTTCACTATTATTATTTCTCTACTTAATATGAATCAAGTAGAGAAAAGGTGGCATTTTAAAAAATAAGACTTGAAGATGATTTGAGACAATTATTGAGAGAAAGGATGACTAGGAAAGGAAATTTAAAATAAGTCATTAAATGGGTGAGAAAATTGGACACTCCTGAATATACATAAATAGAAAGGAGGGACTACATAAATGGAGCAAATAGAGACAGAAGGGTAAGAAATATTAGGAAATGATAAAGAAAATTTCATAGAACTCCACCTATAAGGTCTAAGATGGTTCCTGCTTGTTGGGAGAACCTAGTCAATATTTGGAGCACAAATTCTAAATTATTCATTTGCAGGCATGGCAGTGAATGAAAAGGAAACACAGAGACAAACAGTACCATGAAAGTTTGCCAAGAAGGAACTGCATAGACCATGATTTGAGACTTCCCACCAAACTCTAGGAGCTACAATTCAATAGATAAAGTGTTTAAATCTCTTAAGGGAAAGAGGTACTAACATAGACTCTACACCAAACCAAATTAGCAATCAGTTATGAGAGCAAACTAAAGACATGTTCAGACACTAACAACAATGTCAAAATAGTCATTCATCTCTGCCTGCTCCCTCTCATTCCTGGACACATTATTTTTCTGGGAAAATGCTGTGTGTGAGTTCCAAACCAAGACAAGCAATTCAGGAAGTTAGGGCCCATGGCCAGAGAAACTAAAGGAATTCCCAAGGTAAAGATCAAGAAAGGCCCATAAGAACTTCTGAGAGATAACCAAACAACTAGTCCAGATCAGAATGAGAAAACAGAGTTCAAGGAGGAGACTCATCAACAAATGACACCAAAACATAAAACTAGTATGTTAGACTACATAGGGACTTAATCATACAAGGAAAGGGAAAGAATAGAGAAGAGAAATGGGTGGGGAGTCGGAATGTAACATATTAGGAAAACAACCAATAAACATCTAGAGTATTAGGATTTTTCTAAGGATGAAATCATGACCATATCAGGGCAATGGGCAAGATGTCAAGATGGAGAGGAAAGGCCAGAATTAGCGCTATTTAAACCAAGGAGGATGATGGTGACGGGGAGGGGTCTTGTAGACAGGAGGCACGGAGAAGAGAACAGAATTCACAGACATGTGTAAGGTCTCTGAGAACACAGAGAATAACGTCTTCACATGAAACAGGAGAATAGCCTCAAGAAGATTTAATCTTTTTTTTCAAGCACGGCAATGGTGTAAAGTTGAAATCTTCCTGTTTTCTTTTAAAATAAAATTATGTAAAACAAAACTCACCAGGGTTTGATATACCCCAAGAGTTCTGTAAACACAGCCTACATCTAAGTTCAACTGTCTCATCAATCCCTGGAGGAATTGTCTGTCCCTTAATACCCCTATTTTCAAACCCTTCAAGACTAGGTGCACTATGCTATGCATATGGGATTTTGAGTTCTACAATGTAGCCTACACAATCTGTCATGTTGCGTGATAGTCTTCTTCCATTCAATATAGAGTATTCAAGATTTAACCCTGGCATAGCGTGTGTATTTTTAACTATTATTATCTTATGTAAATACGCCTTGGTATTGTTTTTCCCAGGCCATCAACATTCAGATTATTTCTACTTGGGGGTACTATGTACAGTGTGACAGAAGTTTATGAATGGGCATCTATTTATGTTTTCCTTGAGAATAAATGTAGAAGTGGAATTCCTGAGTTGCAGTGGAGTTAGTTTTGTGAGGAAGCCCCCAATTATTTTATGAAATGACTGTAGAAGTATCTAAAACATTCCACAGACTCGCTGCCACTGGTTACTTTTCTTTCCTTCCATGTTTTCCTTTTGTTTTTAAGATTGTGTTTTGTTCGTGTGATGGTCACCTTAGTACATAAGAATGTGTTTCTCATTATGGCTTCAGTGACAATTCCACTAACAACTAGCCATGCTCAATAGTTTTTCTTCTATGCTAATCGTCCATTTTAGATTGGAAAAAAATCTATTCCAATTCTTTGCTCATTCTTAAATTCAGCTATTTTTTTCTTGAGTTGTGGGAAGTTTGTGTAGTCTGGGTGTCAGTGACTCACAGATGTATGGTTCACAAATATCATCTGATTTCTCTCTTATCTCTTTAAACTCTTGAGAGTCTTATTTGTAGCAGAAAATTTTTATTTGTGACATTATTCAAAGTATCTGGTGTTTCTTTTGTTGCTTATTCCTCTGATGTTCCAGCATCTTCTAAGGACATTCTATGCCAAACAAAAGTAGCTTTGACATATATAAATTTATATTAAAAGAGTAATAGTGGTGGTGTGATCACAATGTGAAGTGTGTTATGCTCAAGCTGACACTTTCATGCGAGTCACGATCCCCATCCTGCACGGTTTGGTTAACATCACATGTGCTTCACATGTGGATGGGACATCTGTTTCCCTTGAATGCTCTCTCTTTAAGGATGGCACTCTCCCAAGTCCTCTCATTGTATTTGCTCATCACTGGCATTCCCTTCTTAGCCCTGCCCAGTGGTGTGATCAATTGTAAAGCTGAGGAAATGGAATTTATGAAGTTATGACTTGAGCAACTACTATGTACCAGGAGGAGGTCTGCACGCCCTGTGTGCATTCTCCCAACACATTACAACATCACGTGGAAGTATTCATCCTATTTTAGCAGGCCGAGAAGCTCAGGCTCCTAAAGCATAACTGATTTCCCAGGTTCACGCAAGCAGTTCTTGTGAACTTGTGCTTGAACCCATATCTGACCCCAGTGCCAGGAAACATCTGGGGCCATTTACTACACTGATAATGTGTCAGCAACCAAGTGATTATTTTATTTATTTGTTTGTTTAACTAATTTAAAAATCAGCTTACAAAGTAGTCAGTTTCTTTATAACACTTCCATATACACTTTGTTTTTATTGTTCCCCAAGTCCCATCTTCTCTCCTACCTCCTCACCCTGTTTCCATTTCCCTGATGCATCCAGAACGTCTCCTTGCACTTCAATAGCCATAAATTTTATCTTCCCCATCACCTCCCCTAAAATCCTCCCTTGTCTCCCATCTCGTGGTCCTCTTTGTGGTGTCATGGCCCTTATCCACTTTCCTATTACTTAGAAATACACACACTGAGCTGTTATAAGCAACAATTCGTACAGTGTCTCTTTGAGCCAGGGTTACCTTGTTTAATTTGTGTTCCCATTCCACCCGTTTCCTAGGTGGTCATTTTAAGAGGATAGTAGCGATTTACCATTCCTGAGTTATATTGCTCTAGTCACAAAGTCTGTGTCTAATCATTCAAGTGAAAAATCATATTTCATGTGTAATACAGTAATATTAATGAGCAAGCATGTCAGGAAACACACTGGGGAGCTGTAATGGAGGTAAGATGAATGTTACCTTTAGAGAGAGGTCCATGTGTTCGGTTGATGCTTTGAATTAAATGCAGGGCTTCATACCTGCTTCAACATCATTCTGCTGTTAAGTATAACATCTGTCTACTAATAAGGACTTCTAATCAGAGGGCTTCACCACACAGATTCTTATCATAGTATTCACATAGATAATTAAGTACATATTGACAAGATGGGTCAGGAAGAGTATGCTGACAACTAGAAACATTCTTCTAGAGCTAAAATTTACCAGTAAAAGAAGATTTTATGCTAATGCTATTTATTTTTGAAAATATAATGGTGTATGAATCACGGCATATAAAAATGTAAAACACAAGCCATGAATCTTAGAGGTTGAGAATATGATTGTATCAGTGTCAAAGCAAAGAAAAAAGCTATCTCTAGGAGGCCAATCAAATGAGATGGAGAAAGCCATTTTTCTCAAGGTAGTGTTATCCTCTTATGTCAAAATGATGAATTCACAATATTGTCAAGTAATAAAAAAATTCAACCTAGATTGCCCATAAGCAATAAGAGACACAATACTGTTTTGTACTAATTATATCCTGCATGTACCACACCTAATCTAATGTAAACTTCACAGTGACCCTGAAGATAATAATTATTCCAAGTTTTTTGTATCTGTGGAGGTTTGCTATGTTTCCAATTATGTGATCAATTTTAGAGAAGGTTCCATGTGGTGCTGAGAATGTTTGGATGCAATGTTCTATAGATGTCTGTTAAACCCAGTTGGGTCATAACTTCTATTAGTTCTTTTGTTTCTTTGTTAAGTTTCTGTCTGGAGGTCCTGTCTAGTGGTGAAAGCAGAGTGCTGAAGTCTCCTAATACTAGTGTGTGAGATTTTATGTGCGATTTGAGCTTTAGTAATGTTTCTTTCATGAATGTGGGTGCCTTTGTATTTGGGACACAGATGTTCAGAATTGAGACTTCATCTTGATATACTTTTCCTTTGATGAATATGAAATGTCCTTCTTCATCTCTTTTGATTGATTTTAATTGGAAGTCTAATTTGTTAGATATTAGGATTACTACATCAGCTTGTTTCTTGGGTCCATTTGATTGGAAAATCTTTTCCCAACCATTTACTCTGAGGTAATGTCTGTCTTTGATGCTGAGATGTGTTTCTTGTATGCAGCAGAAGGATGGGTTCTGTCTTCGTATCCATTCTGCTACTCTGTGTCTTTTTAGAGGCAAGTTGAGACCGTTGACATTGAGGGATATTAATGACCATTGATTGATGATTCTTGTTTGTTTTATATTTATTGGTAGTGGTGTTATTATGTGTAAGTTCTCCTCTTTTTCTTTTGGTGTTTGGTAAAGTGGGATTATCTATTGCCTATGTCTTTGTGAGTGTAGTTATCTTCATTGGGTCAAAGTGTTCCTTCCAGCACTTTCTGGAGGGCTGGATTCATGGATATGTATTGTTTAAATCTGGCTTTGTAGTGGAATATTTTGTTTTCTCCATCTATGGTAATTGAAAGCTTTGCTGGATACAGTAGTCTGGGCTGGCATCCATCTTCTGGCTTTCATAGTTTCCATTGAGAAGTTGGGTGTAATTCGGATAGGTCTGCCTTTATGTGTTACTTGGCCATTTTCTTTAGCTGCTCTTAATATTTTCCCTTTATTTTGTAGGTTTTATGTTTTGATTATTATGTGGTGAGGAGACTTCTTTTTCTGGTCCAGTCTATTTGGTGTTCTGTAAGATTCTTGTATTTTCATAGGAATATCCTTCTTTAGGTTAGGGAAGTTATCTTTTATGATTTTGTTGAATATGTTTTCTTTATCTTTAAGCTGTATTTCTTTGCCTTCTTCTATACATATTATTCTCAGGTTTGGCTTCTTTATGGTATCCCATATTTCCTGGATATTTTGTGTTAGGGAATTGTTGGATTTAAGATTTTCTTTGGTTGATGACTGTATATCCTCTAATGAGTCTTCAACACCTGAGATTCTCTCTTCTATCTCTTGTATTCTATTGGTTATACTTGCATCTGTAGTTCCTGATCATTTACCCAGCTTTTCTATTTCCAGCATCCCCTCATTCTGTGTTTTCTTTATTGTTTCTATTTCAGCTTTCAATCCCTCAACTGTTTGAGTTGTTTCCTTCAGTTGTTTTGTTGTTTTTTTCTTGGTAGTCTTTAGATTCTTTAAGATATTTGTTTATTTCTTGAATTTTTTGGTTGGTCTTTTCCTCCATTTCATGTATTTTTTGTTTGTTTTTTTCTTCTATTTCTTTAAGGGATTTCCTCATTTCCTCTTTGAGGGTCTCTATCATCTTCATAAAACTATTTTTAATGTCTGTCTCATCTGTTTCATCTATGTTATGGTTTTCAGGTCTTGCTGGACTAGGTCTCTAGATTCTCATGGAGTCATATTGGTCTTTCTTTATTATCTTTTTTATTACTTTAATTTTAAATAGCTTGTTTCACATGTCAATCCCAGTTCCCTCTCCCTCCACTCCTCCTGCACTCCCCACCATCCCCCCTAGCCTCCCACCCTATCCCCACTTCCTTCCACATAGAGGATATCTAGAGTCTGACATTTCACTCAGGGCAGGGTCCAGGCACTCCCCTAAGAGTCCAGGCTGAGAGAGTATCCCTCTTTGTGTTATGGACACACAAAGTCCATTTGTATGCCACAGATAAACACTGATCTACTACCCAGGTTCCCATAGGTTGTTTAGTGGCCCTATTATATACAGATGATGAAGTGGCTGAGAAAGAAATCAGAGAAACATCACCCTTTACAGTAGCCATAAAAAGCATCAAATATCTGGGGATAATGTTAACCAAAGAAGTGAAAGATCTGTATATCAAGAACGTTGAGTCTTTAAAGAAAGAAATCAAAGAGGATACCAGAAAATTCTCCATGCTCTTGGATTGGTAGGATAAACATAATAAAAATGGCAATCTTGCCAAAAGCAGTCTACAGATTCAATGCAATCTCTATCAAAATTCTGGCACAATTCTTCACAGACCTTGAAAGAACAATAATCAACTTTATATGGAAAAACAAAAGGCCCAGGATAGCCAAAACAGCCCTATACAATAAAGGAACTGCAGGAGGCATCAACATCCCTGGCTTCAAGGTCTATTATAGAGCTATAATCATGAGAACAGCTTGGTATCGGCACAAAAGTAGACAGGTAGACCAATGGAACCAAACTGAAAACCCTGATTTTAACCAACACACCTAAGAACACTTGATTTTTGACAAAGAA